ACTATACGACATGTATACAAAATTTGCCAACTCGTACTACGGCTACGAAAGAAACGAAACTTTGTTATCACTCGCGCAATTTATTTCGTCCGCGCCACTCGTGGTGATCGATTGTTCTCGTCAAAACGAATCTGTAAAAAGCGCAACCGTGGACATTTGTATCGAATTCGAATGTAGAGCAAACATTCCACCGAACACCACGGCCTATTGTCTAATTATTCATGACAGAGTAATAGAGTACAATCCATTGACAAATGTCGTTCGTAAAATTATCTAACAATAAACATAACGATTTAGACGATATTATAGATTAACTGTTTTTAATGTATGCTTCACAAAATAAAAATGTTGAAACGGACTGTACCACGTTTATTGACACTCCTACCGATTCATTTCCTGTGTCTATGTATAGACACACGTACCACTTCTCCTCCACCATACTTGACAGAATGCGATTAACGGTCGAACAGTACGTTTCCGCTGTGCACGTACACCGCGATGTCTCTCGCTTACCTCGTGGTTTTCGTTTCCGTAACGGTATGCGCGTCGACGCCGACGGCTGAAAATCTCGTAAACACAGAAGTGATAGAATATTTGCAGAGGTACGGTTACCTAAACGAGGCAGATGTAACCACTCACACGTCGATCGAGGATGAAAAAATTAAAGAGGCTATCGCATTATTTCAAGAATACTATCAAATACCAGGTAACGGTATATTGAACGATATTACGTTAGATCAAATACGAAAACCTCGATGTGGACTTCCGGATATGCCACACCAGGAACACAATACGAATACAGTAAAATAGAAAAAAACGCATCTTACGTGGAATTTTCACTTAGCGGATGCGAATACATTGAAACTCGCGACATACGCATTCTCAATATGGGCGGCGAACACGTCTCTAACATTCGAACGTAAAACGTTAAATCCAGATATTTTGATATCATATCGCGGAGGAACTCACACATACATCGACAACAGACGCAAGGAAACGATCTGTTCCGGTTTGTTCGACGGACCCGGTGGAGTGCTCGCACACGCGTTTCCACCTATGAACGACCCCATGCAAAGCACTGAGATACACGTAGACGTAGCGGAACCTTGGCTTATACAATTAAACGAAAGTATATCAGAAAACAAACTACATTTACTTTACACATTAACGCACGAAATCGGACATTCATTAGGATTATCGCACAATCATCGCGCAGATTCTCTAATGTTTCCTTACGTCACCGATAAATCCGCTACACTCAGTATAGAGGACATTTTAGCTATTCAACGTCTATATGGAAAAAATCAAAATGAAGTACCGAGTACACGATCTCCACCGGTAACTACAGACACGCGTAAAACATCAACGCAAAATCTGTGCGATCTACCATACGTGGACAATGTACTGGTGTTGAAACATCACATATTCGTCACTTATCGAAAGAGCATATGGGTGATAGCCATCAATGGTAAAAGGTACAAGGGACCACTCGCGCTCAACGACTATCTTCGTTTTCTTCCGGCGAACGTTTCAATAAACCCCGTGTATCAACGGCCATCAGAAGAAATTGTGGTGTTCGCGAATAATAAAATTTACATGGTAGATTATCCGAGTTTTCAATTGAAAAATGGTTGGCCGAAAACGTATTCCGACTTGAACTTTCCCGCAGAAATGCGCGTTAACGCAGCATTAGTCACCAACCGAGGACAAACGTACGTGATCTTCGATGGCGACAGCGTAGCGTTAATGAATGAATGCGACATGACTATTCGCGAATATCACTCGTTAAAAGCGATATTTCCGGGAATACCATCATCTCCGACTGCAGCCTACCGATATATCGACGGTTCTCTTCATTTCCTACAAAAACGTCAATATTACAAATTCAACGAGTTCACCCAAACAGTAACGAATGCCGATAATTTCAACATGAAAATACTCAACGTAAATTGTCCTACAGACGGACTGCTAAGACAATTGCAAGATCTTCTTAATCGACTGCTTCAATCAAATAATTTACTCGAATACACCGCAGAGGATGCATTGGACGATTAGCACGATGTTTTAAGTAAAATAATATATTACTACATGGGTACGCAGACGATCAGTGCGAAAGAACGAATCGTTCGATTAACATCGTGAGAGAGAGAGACATGTACGCGATTTCAAACGACACCGACGATGACTCTCGACGTCTTCTCATCGAGCGTACGAATGACGCGAAGATCAGAAGAGTTTTCACCAATACGGCAGCAAAGCATGTTATCACGGAGCACGATGGAAAAAAGGAAAAACAGTATAACGAAGCGAACAATATGCAGAAACAATATAACGAAAAAGTAGATACAAAAGGCACGTACGTATTTTTTATTTTTTTTAATCATTGTTTTTTCTGAACAAATTTCTTTTTTTTTTTTGCAACAGAACCACAGTACGCATATTGGAACGAAGATATCCTTTAACTGCTACCGGATACAAGTATCTAACCGTCGGCATCAACGTCAAATTGCCCTGCGAGATAACTGTCATTCTTGGAGACAGTCACGGCAAAGAGATGTTCCTCTCACCGACCGTATGGAGCGAGCTCGTCGAACATAAACGCGTCATATTGCCGCTTTTGCAACCCGAAAATACAAAAGGAAAACGCGCGCCATCGCCAATATACATCGGAGATATGACATTACATTTCGGTCAAATTAACAGTATACCGATGTTGCGCCTTGATTCGACATCTTCACGAATGACCTTGTCAAACAGTACAGTTGTCAATTTATTCAATCTAGAATATTGCGTCAATCGTCTCATTTCCTCATTCGACAA